AACTGAAGCCTACAGAAACGGCTATTTTGAGAAGCCTGTTAAACACAGATACCCTGGAATGCACTGGTGTTAATATGAATGAAAATGAGGTGTGGATTGAAACCACCTGCACCTACAAAAACAAGGATGGTGCAAGCCAAGCTTGGGGCTGCTCAGGGTTGTGTGTGCAGGGTTGAAATGTATACTCTCAGCCCCAATTCCAGGCCTACCCAGTCAGGATCGGGGCCCAGTGACGTGCCTCACAGCAAGTCCTGACAGGTGACTGCAACGCACTGGAGGCATGGTGTAGGAGAGACTTGAAGTTTCTGTCCCTTTCATCCTGCTTTATCTAGTACCATGTGACATTTCTCTTCCTGACTTTTCTCTCCTTATTGAAATGTGAGCTCCCTAAGAAGCAGGGTTTGGGCCAAAGCCAAGTAAGTCAGAGCAGTGGCAGGAGTAACTGAATCACCCACCCACGTGGCAGTGGCTGGGAGTACCTGTACCAGCCCAGGAATCTTGTTGGGGATCCTAGCTCCTCATTTACCGATGTTAGGCAGGGAGAGGGCCCTAGCCTTGTCTAGGCCCAAGGTCCAAGAATTTCCTCTGTCCTCAGTGACCATGTTGGGGACACATCTCAGACAGCTCTGGGCACACTCAGGATCATAGCTCTGCCCACCACCGCCATCTTAGCGGGCGAAATTGGGTAAGTCTGAGCAGTGGCACAGATGACAGGATCCCTCAGCCATGTGGTTGTGGCTGGGGGTACCTGTTCCAGCCTAGGCTTCATGCTGGGGGTCCTAGCTCCCCATCCACAGCTGTTACACAGGGGGAGGGTCCTGAGCTTGTGGGCCTTCACCAGCTGGCTGCCTGGTGGCAAACTCTGAGGTCTTAGGGGTATGGAATTACTGCCTAGGGACATCCATGGTTAAAGCCACTGTACGTGTAGCTGAGGAATAAATCTCAAAGGACACCCAACGACAGGGCCACTGTACTTGCAGGTAAGTGAGGGGACTGAGACACAGTGGTTTGGAGAGAATAACCTAAAGAACTTTATGGGTCATGGAAGTCCTGGGTTGGGCTTGTTAGCATGGAACATGGCTGACCACAACATGCCAGCGCACACGCAAGCTATGGCCTGTCTGGCAAGGCTAGATCCCAGTGAGTATCAGATCACTGGGTCACATTAGACTGACAGCAACCAGCATTCAAGAGAACCAGGTCTGGGGTTGAATTCTGTGAGGGATATGTGGGCTAAACTCTATGGAACTGCAAGTCCTGCTGGTTAGCTTGAGAGTTGGGGTAGTGATGAGCTGAGCTATGCATGACCATGGAACTCACCAATGGTCACAGTTACTGAGGCTGGGAACAAGTGGGGCAGGTCCAGGCTGTAACACCCACACAAGCACCCTAAAACAGGGTGTGGGGCGGGCTGGGCCACACCAGCACATACAAATGCCAGGACGGATGGGGCAGGCCATGTCAGGTAAGGGTCAAAAACCCACTGGCATGCGTGAAATTTGGGTCTTGGAGTAGCCTGAGTAGGGGAACCTGGGAAACTCCCCTAGGGGGTCATAGTTCCCAGTGATGAGCACATTTTAGCACTGAGTGTTGGGAAGGCTGGGCAGGATAGTTCCATCTGTTGGCAAGCGTGGAAGGGGGAGACCTGGTGGGGATGAACAAACCATAGCCTACTGGCAAGTGCAGAAACCAGGATGGAGTGCAGGTCACTCTGGGCTAGGCTGCCACACCTACTGATTTGTATTAAACAGAGATAAGAGCAGACTGAACAGGTCCAGGTTGCAGCACCTGCCAATAAGAGTTGGGACTGGATGGCCAAGCTGAGTCATGCCAGGCTACAGCATCTGAAGGCAAAGTCCAAGACAGGAGAGGGGCTATGCCAAGCTAGGTCAGAGCAATGTGAGATCTGTGGCTGGGATCAGGCCTGGTTGGGGAACAAAGGGGATGCCCGGGCTGGGTTGTAGATCCCATTGGTGAGCGGAGGGGCCAGAGTTGGGAATGCAATCTCATCTGGACATGGATGCAGTCTCCCTCGGCACAGGTATGGACTGGTTCTGGGGCATGCAATACTGGGCAAGACTCCAGCAACCCTTGGAGCTTAGGAGAATCAGGGTGGCTGTAGGATTGGCTGGGCTAAATCTCTGTCCCTGCTAAACCATGTGTGAGCTGTCTTGGTATGGACAATGCTTGGCTAAGCTGTAACATACAAGAGTAAGAATGGGAATGGGTGAGGGCCGGTCAGGAAAGGCCACTGTTCTGGCCAGAACAGAAAGTGGACTAAGTAGGGCTGGCCATAGACCCACTGGTGTGTGTGAGATTTGGCACTGGGAGATGTTCTGATGGAGGAGCTTGGCAACTCCTCTGGCAGGACACAGTCCCTGCAGGTCAGCACAAGAACCAAGAAAGGGGGCACCCAAACCAGGCCTGGTTATGGGTCCCCATGGGCTTACCTTTGGCTCAGGCCAAGGGCAAGCCAGACTAGGCCAGTTCATATCACCTCCTGCCAAATCCAAGAACCAGAATGGTATGTGGGTCATGCCAGGTCCGGCTACAATATCAGCCAGTTTACATTAGGGCCAGGACTTGGGGGATGGCTGGGCTCGACTAGGCTATAATCTCCACCAGATGAGCTGGAACTGGGGGCAAACTGGACCAGGCTACAGCACCCACTTGCAAATGCTGAGATGAGGAAGGCCATACATACCAGACTAGGCTGCAGCACCCAACCAACACATGTGAGACCCGGGGGAGGGTAGGCAAAACCTGTAGGGGGGCTGCAGAGAGCTCCCCTACTGGGCCACCATTCCCATTGGTGAGTGTGAGAGCTAAGACTAGGAGCACACCTGGCCGGATAGGGCTATAACACCTGTTGGTATGTATGTATGGCCTGCATGTAAGCTGGATCAGGAACAAGCCAGGCTGGGTTGACTGTACCTACTGCACATGCATAAGCCAGAGTGGGTAAGGGTTGGTTGGGCTTTGCCACAGCATTAGCTAGCAGCTGCTGGCACAGGAGGAAAACTCTGTGGAGAGATCCAGATCCAGGAATGGGAGTGGGCCCAGTAGGGAAGCAGAGGGTACCTCCCTCTTGGGTAGCCATCCCAACTGGTGAGCATGAGAACCAGGATTAGGGGTAAGCATGGCTAGGCAGAGAGTGGCCCCTGCCAGAACATTTGTGGGCTGGACAGTGGGGCTGGTTGGGTTGAACTAGGCTTCAATGACCATTGATAGTATGAGAACTGGATGGGATGTGGGATAGACTGGAGTAACCTGCTGTACATACTGGCAAGCACAGGAACCAGGGCAGGGGGCAGGCCTGATGGGGATTATTATTGGTCTCTTTGACCAATAACCAATAACTACAACTCCCACTGGTTTGCATGGGGGCTGAGTGTGCGGTGGGCAGGATCGGGCTGGACTGCAACACCCATTGGTTTGTGTAGAAGACAGGACTGAAGGCAGAAATAATCTAGCAATTCTAATCACCAGCATGTGCGTAAGCTGATTGGGGTGACGGATGGTGCCGAACCCTATATTGGCAAGCACACCCAAGAATCAGATCTGGGATCACCTCAGGTGAAGTTACTTTGGGAATCCCCCCAACTGAACTGCTGGACTCAGAACTCCAACCATGGAAAAAATTGTAGGTTCCATGGTCTGATCATGGAATGCATGTATCAGAGCTGGGCCTCCTCAGTGGCTTAGATGGAGCAATGGACAGCATATCCAGATGGATGTGGATAATATATATGGCAGTACACTGCAGTCTGCAGAGGAAACCTGGTACTGTAACTAAGGACGGAGGATAGAACAAATCAATCAGCTACCCCAGCCAAGTGTTATACCTGGTCAGGTGAATACCTGGGCAAGCAGAGTCTCTAAGGTAGACTATGTCAGCTAGTAGAGTCTGGAGAGATTTCATCGTGATTAGAATGGCAATATTGGCAGCAATACTGAACTACTGAATTATCAAAACCACTTGAGCAGGACCCTTGCAGCATGCCCTAATCGGTGACCCTGGGATGGTTGGGAGGCTGGGTGTGGCTTTTCCTCTCATCTCTCCCCTCCCTCAAGATACAGGAAGGAAAAGGAGAATGCTAAAACAATGGTTTCACCTGCTTTCCTCTAGCCCTTGACCCCTTGCACCCTAATCAAATATGTAAAAAGTATCAAAAATAAAATTTATACAAAAAAAATATGAAGCAGGGTCCTTGACTCATTCTCTGTATCCTGATTATTTACCTGGAGTAGGACTAGGTACATTTTTTAAAAAGGATCTATATATGCATTTATTTATTTGAAAGTCTGAATTATAAAGAGAGATCTCCCATCTTTTAGTTCATTCCCCAGACGGCCACAATGGCCAGAGCTGGGCTGGTTTCAACACCAGGAGCCAGGAGCTTCTTCTAGGTCTCCCTATGTGGTTGTAGAGGTCTAAGGCCTTGGGCCATCCTTTGCTGTTTTCCCAGGTGCTTTAGCAGGGAGCTGGACTGGAAGTAGAGCAGCCAGGACTTAAACTGGTGCCCACATGGAACGCAGGTTAAACAGGCCAAAGGTTAGCTTATGAAGCCAAGCCATGGCACCAAACCCATGAGGCAAATTTTAATTGCTTAAAATAGATGAGATGCATACATTAAGACTGACTCTAAGTATCACAGGCACCGCAGCATTCTAGAAGGCTCAGATAGGGACAAAAGCACACTGTACAGAATGCAAGAAAATATAGTTCATTTCCTGCAGTGTCAAGCCAAAAGCTATCTTTTGATAAATAAATAGTGCCCTCTAACGGTAGTGGTTTTTTTTTTTTTGTTTTTATTTCAAGTGTTTATTTTCACTTACTTGAAAGGCGGAGTGACAGACACAGAAATGGAGAGAGCCCATATCCTGATTTATTCCCCAAATTCCCACAGCAGGTAGGGGAGGCCAGAGGAACCCCACCCACCTCTCCCACACGGGTGGCAGGGGCCCTAATTCTGAAGCATTATCTGTTGCCTCTCAGGAGACATTACGAGGAAGCTGAATTTGGCAACATCCTTGCACAGGGGCCATGCCAATCTTCTCTGTATTGTCCCAATGTTAGTGCAGGTGCTGCCGAAGTGAGCATACCAGGAAGCTGGATTGGAAGTGGAGCAGCTGGGACTTGAACCTGCACTGGTATATGAGAACCAGATGTCCCAAGCTACTATGTCACAAAACCCACTCCTTTTATTTTCTTATTTTAGCAGTAATAAACATATTCATCTCCTTAAGATCAAATTAAGGCTGCCAACAATGGCACAGCCCCTGGGAGGGATTTTAAAATGCATAATGCTCTTCCTGCCCAGATAGGGAAGAAAATTTGTCCCATCCACCTTCCCCCAACCTTCAACCCTCCCCACCCTAACCAGTGGTCCTCATGGGCATGCATCCTTGCCAACTATGTAAACAACGCAAAAAATTAAATTTAAAAATGACTTGAAAACTAGCTTTAACTTAACAGCAAAATCCCATCGAGATTTGAACTCAGACTGCTGGATTCAGAGTCCAGGATGCTCAGCAGGAAACTTGTCAGAGGAGTGTCATGGGGCTCTGTTGTCCACATGGAAGCAAATGGAAGGTCTCCAAGTCAATGGGTCAGCCAGGGAAGGAATGTCACTCAGGACAGACCAGTGAGGTAGCCCAGGAGGCAACAGGCAAGGCTTCTCACAGTCAAAGATGGCGGCTTGCCTTCAATTTGGAGAGAATTCATTTACTTCTACACATGGAACCAAGAAAAATTATGAGAAAGTCAGCATTTTGGACTAAATGGAAAGCGCTGCTGGCACGTTTAACCCAGTGCTGCTCCCCATGAACTGTAAGATAATGATCAAACATGGCTCTGGTCTGTGGTCTTCTCAAAGTCTCCTCTAGATCTGGCTGCATTCTTCTAGCTTGTCTGTGGGCACTCAGAGTTATGAAACACAACGCCCCTGGGTAGGTGAGGGAAATATGAGGGGGCCTTCACTTTCATGTCAGTAAGACGAGAGCAATAGTTCTGTTCCCAGAGTGTGCTTGAATTGTGATTGCATTATCTAGAGTGGTCACCATCATATACAATATACGTACTTTAAAAAAAGAACAAGAAATAAAATCTAATACTAGACTGCAAAAATAAATAAAATGGATGATATGGGGTCTGGTGTCAAGCACAGCACGTTAAGCATGTGCTTGTGATGCCGGAACCCCATATGGGTACTGGTTCGATTCACAACCGCTCCATGTCTGATTCTCTTCCCTGCTAATGTGCTTGGGAAAGCAGATGGCCCAAGTGCTTGTACTCCCTGTATCACCAGGAAGAAGGTCTGGGCCCTACTTGTTGTGGCCATTTGAGAGTGAATCAGCAGATGCAAGATTCTCTGTCTCTTCTTTCTCTGTAACTCTGCCTTTTAAACAATTTTTTTAAATGCATTACGTCATTGCTGTATATATGTGTTTAAGATAATTTTAGCTACTACCTCCATGCCCCAACCTCTCTGACTAGACTGTAGCCTGCTAGCTACTCACACAGAAATTCTGGAGATTCACAGGTTAACCTGCAAGTGCTAGAGTGGGTGTGCCCAGAAGGACTGTCAGCTTGCTTGGGACAGCAGGGGACCCAAGAAAGTGGTGGCCCCTGAGATGGCAAGTGTCCTCTACCTGTCTGGATTCTCAACTTGACGTTTATGTCTCTAGCTTTCTGCTCTTTCCTGCTTCTATTAGCATTGGTAGAAATGTGGGACGTTTAAGTATAACAGTCCATTTCATCAAAAATGGGTCCCCAGAGACCAAAAGGATGTCAGTCTCTGTATCCTGTGAGCTGTCTGTGCCGAAGTATAATTACTAAAACCTCACATCCACAACTCTCAAGTAAATATGAAACATATACACATCTAAGACTTGAACTCACTGAATTAGAGGACACCCCATAGGCTGGTAAAATTGGTTCAAACAAAATTTTCAGAAAGTTAACATTTAACAGGCAGTTGTAAAAGGATGTTAAAAGAATGCTGTTCGGTTAGATGCAAAAGTGGTTTGTATCCTACTGAGAAATGAACCATAACTCCATGGTTATCTTCATCAACAGAAATATTTAGCCCAACACATGACTGCACAATGAGGAGGCTCTCATCAAGCAGTAAATAGAACAGAAAAAACTGACATTGTTCTAAGGAACTTCACAGTCCCTGGCAAGCTTGGGGAAAATGTGCCAGCATGAGCCAGACAAGATCATGGCCCTAATAAACACACAGTTGTGTATTTTTCAGGGTCTTTAGCTTCTCTTTTAGTCTCCTCCTGATTTGAAGTGTGGCAGCACTTCCCAAATAGTATGCTCTTACCTTTCCTTCTTCAATTTTCACTTATATATTTTTTATATATTTGGAAGACAAAGAGATCTTCGATTTGCTGGTTCACCACCCAAAGGTTTAGGATAGCTGGCAGTGGCCCAGGCCAGAGCCTGAGTGCAGGACTCAAACCAGGTTTCCGACATGGCTGGCAGGGACCCAACTACTTGCACCATCACTGCTGCCACTCTGGGAAGTGCATTAGCAGGAAGTTAGAATAGGAAAGACAGCCAAACTCAAAACCCAGATTCTCGGATTTGGGGTGTGGCTGCCCCAGGCAGCATTTGCATAATCATTACACCAAAGCCTGCTCCTGTGTTCTCCTTTACATTATGATGCATTTGCCATTAATAGGCATTTTAGAGAGGAGTCTTCCAAAACGTTAATGGAAATTTTGTATTATGAAAAAAACCATGCATAGGTTTCAATATCTTTTGTACCAAAACAGACTTATCTTCAAATGCCAGGGGACTTGAAGATCTGGCTCTTTTTCCTCTGCCCAGGATCCCCCAGCATCTATGTTGCTGCTACGTCAGACGCCTTGAATCCAAAACTCTGCCGACTGCAGACTTCCCTCTCCATCTGCCTTGGCCTGGGAAGTTCAGATGCTGGGTCTCATTAGCAGCAGTGCTTGCTAACTCAGCATTTCCCTTCTCTGACCCAATTACTTCATATATTTCTTCCAAGTTCACCTGCCACAACTTGCCAGACCTGCCCTGGTGCCACTTTCTGGTCCTTTTAAATGCTCCATTCTTCCCATGTTACCCTGCCTCTGGCTCCACAAAACCCTATGCAGTGTTACAGCCCAAGATCCGCTCCTTTGTTCTGCCCTTGCCAACTTCCTGGCTGTCCTTGATCCATTATGCCCTGTTCTGTCCACTGTATCCAGTTCTTCCCAGAGATCTCTGCTCCTGTCTTTGAGTCTGTACTGGGTCCAAAAAGAGGCTAGCAAGACACTTGTTCCTTTATTCATGGTCCCCCTTTTTTAGTGGGGGGGAAGGGTTTGCAGAGAGCAGGAAAATACCAATTTATTAATTTATGTTTTAAAAATTTATTTTTATTTTTATTGAGAAGGCAGATATACAGAGAGGAGGAGAGTCACAGAGGAAGATCTTCCACCTGCTAGTTCATTCCCCAAGCAGGAATAACGGCCAGAGCTGAGCCAATCCAAAGCCAGTCTGAAGCCATGAACTTCTTCTGGGTCTCCCCACAGGTGCAGGGTCCCAAGACTTTGGGCCGTGCTCAACTGCTTTCCCAGGCCACAAGCAGGGAGCTGGATGGGGAGTGGGGGCACTGGAACCAGAACCAGCACATATATGGGATCTTGGCATGTTCAAGGTGAAAACTCTAACCATCACGCCATCATGCCCGGCCTGAAAAATACCAATTTAAATTGGCATTAAAATGCAGAACTTTATTATTTCATATAATAAAGTGTCAAAGAAAGGGCAGGATACAAGCACAATATGTGCTTATTGTCACAAAATGATTACTATATTTCAAGTTCACATGCAGGTATAGCCTGTTGAGAGAAATGGAAGGACCTTTCCTTTTCTCCAAAAAAAGTGTACAAGTTTCTCAGAAGCCCTTGTTGAGCCACATCTCATTGGCCAGAACTAGGTGACAGGCTTGTTTCCCAAACCAATCACATAGTAGATCAGGACTCAGGGGAAATTATTTTTTTAACTCACCTGATTGTCCCCTTCTCCTCCAGTTAGTCAGTACCTCTATCACACCCATGAGTGCTGTAAAAAGGGGAAGAAGGAATTGAAAGATAACTTGGGGTGAGTTTTCTGCATCGTGCATGATTCTGTTTCTGCTTCCCTTACTGTAGCACTTATTTTCAAGTCTTGGTTCAAGTTCACAGTTCCAGCTTGCTGTTAATGTGCACCCTGGCAAGCAGCCATGATGGCTCCAGTACTTGGGCCTATGCCACTCATGTGGGAAAACAGGATGACATTCCTGGCTCCTGGATTCAGCCCTGTCCAGACCTGCCTTGAATAACCTTTTGAAAACTGAACCAGGAGAGGGGAGATAACTGTCTGATTCAAATAAATAAAACACATTTTTTGAAAAAACCTAAGTTTATGTTGGTGTATAAAAGATGAAAGCTTACTGATTTGATGGCAGGCATAGTTAAATAGGCAGCTATCAAAGCATATTATGTAAACGACATCAGCATTTTCCATGAACTCTTTCAAGCGCCTTCACATATGGTAATTTTGTTGCTGTGATCAAATTATGTAACACCTCAATGGCAAAAGTTATGACCTATTTTGCATCTTTCTATAGCTCTTAAGCCAGCAAAAATGTGCTCAATTACACTTTAAAAATTATAAATTGGGAAATGTGCCACAGATGACACTAACACCATCAAAAGTTAAGTATTTCAGTAAAGATGGGTATGTAGGTGATTATAAAAGGGATATTTCAAATCAGTGAGGGGAGACTCAGTGGAGAATGCTACAGGGACACTTGGCTAAGTATCTGCACAAATTAAGTTGTGTTCACATTTCACACCTTAGGCCAAAATCAATCTACATATGAAACAAAATATTAAAAAAAATCTTGGTTTCAGGCCAGCGCATTGGCTGATCCTCTACCTCCAAGTGGGCCCTTCCATATGGGCCCGGATGTTCCACTTCCTTTCCAGCTGCCTGCCTGTAACCTGGGAAAGCAGTAGAGGATGACCCAAAGTCTTGGAACACTGCACACATGTGGGAGACCTGGAAGAAGCTCCTGGCTTCAGATCAGCTCAGCTCTG